TGTTTGCAACTTTCATTTGATTCTAACCATCTTAATAAAATAAAGAAAATAAAGATGAAGAAATGCATTGATCAGTAAAACTAAATTAATAGTATGTGTACCACAAACAAGACAAGTGAGAAAAAAACAATTATCAGCTCAAGGCACACAGTGGAAATTTTCTCAAAGCTCCCCAGGGAAAATTAGTAAATTATACACAGCTTTACGACTGCCTGCCCATTTTAAACAACCTTTATCACAATAGTTGTATATCCAACAGAAAGATGGAATTCTATACAATTTAGAAATCGGAATCCATAGGTTTGAACCTTGATCTGATGTCTGATTCCTGACCTGACTTTAAAGATCTTTACTGGCATAATTGAAATGTTTTTCTTTTTCACTCTGCCAGAAAGGTATGTAAACATTGAATGGGAGAACGAAACATACTTACTTGTTGAACAGATTAAGTCCCACTCGGTATCTTCGTTTTCTTTCCTCTGTCAGTGGCATCAAAGTGACATTAGTATGCGAGATTGATGGAGCTGGTGATAATTTCCTACCATGTACTGCTTCAACTTCACTCACACTAATACTCTCCGACATCAGACTGATACTGTCACTACTTCCTTGAAAACTCTCATTGCAGATAGACTGGCAACTACCGTCAGTACTTAAACTTTCAAAACTTTCACATTTGTCCATGGGTTTAGCTACTCCATTACTAATCTTAGCTGGTTTATCACTGTTACTACTGCTTGTACTTATATCACTTTTGACACTTGCTATGGTTGAAGTACTACTTATACTACATATACTACTCCTATTGCTACCTGACCCACTGCTCATCCCAGTACTAACACCGGAGATAGCACCTGAACTAACAGAGGATGTACTGTCAAGCATTTTCCGCCTCCATACAGGAGATCCAACCTGTTCTTGAGACCCTATAACTCTAACAACTGCTTTTTGAGGTTTCATAAAATCCTCCTCCTCCCTAGTACGCCTCTTTTTCTTACTAGATGTTTTGGCAGGAGGCACAGAAGTCCTTTCTGGTGTTGCCTTTTTATTATCTACCCCTTCAATAACAGTCTTTTTACCCTCTGGGGTAGCTACAACCACAGACGGCACTTCACAAGATACGTTTTGCACTTGCTTTGTTTCTGGAGAACTTTCCACTGACAGATCATGGTGCTTGGTGGCCTCACTCGGTATATCCTTCGTTATACTTTCCATGTCCGTGGACACACTTTGTGGGTCTATGGGTACACTTTGCACACTTTTGTGTGTAGTTTTTACATCTTCAGGTTCCCTTTCTATCGTCTGTTCCTCACTGGATTCATCGTGTAAGTGGATCGTATACACAAGAGTAAATCCTCTTTTTGAGTCCAAATTATCCTCAATATTTGGTTTTTGAGATTCAGCGTTTTGTTTCTCCTGTCCAGAGCTGAGATGCGATTTGTCTAAATCCTGTTTGGTCTCAGTAATAACATCATGATCAGTCACTCTAATTTCAGGTTTATGTTCCGGAGAACATGGTAAAGACATTGGTTTATGTTCTGGTGACAGCTCATTACTCTCATTTAGTGATGGAATGGAAGTTTTAGCACTGTCCTCGACAATATCATGCTTCACAGATTCAGTAAGTTCAGCAAGACACTTATTAACTAGAGCAACCTCTCCAATGTCAACAGACTTATTGAAGCGTTCATCAGTTGATTCTCCAGGCTCAAAATCTAGAGACACAACGCATTTACTGAACATTTTATTCCATTCTGGCGAGTCTTTAAATTTAGTAAACCGTCTACTCATACGATTTTCAGACTTTGCACTTCGTATTTTCTCAAAATTTTTTGTCATAGAATATTGCCGAAATGCTTCCTGTATTTTTGTTGCTGCACGTTTTGTTATAAGTCTTCCCCCGTATTTCTTCTGCAGCATTTCAACCTGCTTATTCTGAAGGTCAGACGATAGTTCATATGCATTGCTGTAAGCCCGTGATCGCTTGATTAGCACATCATCTTCACGTCTCTGACGAATAGATTTTTCCCGCTTCAAAGATCGTATTTTCTTAAGCTCAGACGACGTTGGCGAGTTGAATCTGCCGCTATCACTCCTAGTAAGCGAGGTTGATGGGCTGTTATCAAGCGGCACACTTTCTGACCTCTGCGCACTGCAAGCGAAACAAAAGAAATATATTTAATAATTGCTTGACAAAATATTCACAATCCAACTTTCAATAAAACAGTACACTTTACCTGTCATGCCAGCTGGCAACATCGTAGGAAGCTCTGGTACATAAATGAAGAATATTTTTCAATTGTTGAAACATACTTTAACACATTGAATACCACTTAAATTTTACTCCATACGTTATGGACAGCATATGGCACACAGTTGATCAAAAATGTCAGCTAGACAAAACTAAAAACATGACCTGTACAGAAATTGTCACAAGGCTTCCCGATACTGATGTTCACGAACTATAAACAATACTAACGAAAGCCAACTTTTGGTGAACATCAATGTGATTGGAAATATAATGTAGAAACAATAGTTATCAGGTTTGATGTCATCCAAAGTCTAAAGTTCAGTCTGTTAGTGTGAGAATGTGACACACCTCCTATTTTTATTGACTGACTTCTACTAATAGTTAACTGCAATACAGTGAATACCATTTGGTAATATTAGTTGCCAGCCAGTCTTAACAACATAAACATGTGATTTGTATGCAGTTGCCATTTTAATTTTTTTTAATAATAATAATATTTTATAATTTCACAAGATTAAAAAAAAATATGTACCCTCTGCCATATTTATCTCTATGTCTCAATATGAGATACGACGGCTAATAATATTGAAACATAAATATAGAATGCTGCTTATACAATTTAGTCCCTAGATTTTTTGAATATTCAGGTTTTTTATTCGGGACTAGAATTATTCAGCAAATTCAGCCTTTTCTGCATGTACTTTTATGATATGTTTTTCCCTTCTATGTTATATAATATACTGATCAAAAAACCCATTTATAAGTGCAATGGATGAAATTTTCACCAGCGACACCATCAATAGTAAGATTATGACTCATCCAGGATTTTATTTCAGAATTTTATGAAAATAAACATATCTCTGCAATTCTCACTAACTGTGAGGGGGATCACCCTCCATGATTTTTGGGGTATTTCAACCTAAACTCAAGACAACATACTATATTTGCTCTATTAGTACCACATGCACAAATATAAATGATTTTTTGGTTTATGGGTGGACTCTATTGAAGACATGCTTATAATATATATAATTATAATATATTATCAAATATAATAATTAACTCATGTTTAATATTACTTTGGCAGCATGTTTAGTGTTGTGTAAATGTGTTCAGCAAACAAAGATACAATAATGTTCTACAATATGCCATGGACTATTACAATATTATCAGTCGCTATCAGTTGCATGAGTTCTTATTTTATTTCCTTTGACAGGTGTTATTGTCTGCATGATATCATTAAAATCTTGCCCACTGACCTACCAGTCAACTGCATAATGCATAAAATATGCACGACTAAATTATGACAAATATGAAATATAATATTCATAGAAAAATTTGAGTACCAGTAATAATTTACTGCTAAAATTTAGATTAGTAATTACAACATATAATAACACGACCCCCCCTCCTGTCTGCTTTAGTTACACATCAAGAAATGCCTTCGATGGACAACTATACCATACTGTTCACAAGATTTACCGTATACAAACTTGCACTTCAACAGAAAATACAAAGACATTACGATATTCTTAGGATATGGATTTCATTGCACATGTGCGTAGCATTGTCACCCCCATGGATCGAATGGTATTGTCCTATTGTTAAACGACAACCAATATTATTAACAACATGGCAGACTTGACTGCCGGAATGCCTGGGCGTCGATCATAATAAGTGTGGATAGCTGCTCGAATTCGCCACTCTGTTTCAAATTTTGAACATAAACAAATATTATACAGTACGAGGATTTCTGTTGCTGCCCTGCGCGTTAGGTATTTCCCCCTGTTCGCCCCGTGCGTGCCCGGACAGCCCCACACGTCAAGTAGCAGGGCCGCCTAAAATATCATTTTTTTATCAGTCGTTTTTTGTTTTTTTTTAAGATAAATGCAATTGAGCACACAAATTGTCCTTATAAAATGATGGCTTTCAAACAGGGGGAATAAATATATATAGGTCATATGATAAATTTGAAGTGTCATTGTTGCTGCACTGCAACATAGTGTTTGATGTGGGTCCCATGCAACATAAACAGTGTGTGTAAAATACAGTTTATTTACACAAAATTGAACATATAAGATGACACTTTAATTTCATCAATGTCAATGCAAAATACTACAAAAATAAATTTAATTATTATTCTCATGAATTTAAACAATAGATAAATAGTGTATTTGCTGTCATGTAGTAAATTAAATACATGGGAAGCTTTTTTGTTACCACAGAAAATATTGGAGATGCACTTCTAATATCTGAAAATATGGTATTTCTATTCCTAGGCAACACAAAGACTGATTTCTAATTATAGAATTTAGTTTTTCCATATCGCAATACATGTATACAGAGTCATCTTATGAATAGACGCATACATGATCAACCATATGAACCTCACTGAGTAAGACTACTGTCAATAATATTATAACAGTCCTGCTTGACAAATGAATTCTACATCACATTAATATGTTAATGAACACTGTTGTACAACTGTTCAGTCAAAACATGAATGCATCAACCATTTACAAATCATATTAACATGTGCTAGAGAGAGAGACAGCATCAAAATAATTTTATAATCCAATAGGAGAATGAACACTGCTGTATAACTGTTCTTCCAAAATGTATAAAATCAAATTATTATATGTACCTCACTGAAGTCCATATAATAGTCATGCTCGAGAAACAGCTTCAACAGAATTTTATAATCCAATATGAGAATGCACACTGTAATATATCTGTTCCTCCGAAATGAATATCATCAAATATTATATGTACTGTATCTCACTGAGTAAGACCACAGTTTATATAATAGAGAAACAGCGGCAACATAACGTTATTATCCAATATGAGAATACACACTGTAATATATCTGTTCCTCAGAAATGAATATCATCAAATTATTATATGTAAAGTACCTCAGAGTAAGACCACAGTCCATATAATATTCATGTTCGAGAAACAGCCGCAATATAACGTTATAATCCAATATGAGAACGAACACTGTAATACAACTGTTCCTCCAAAATGTTGAATGCTTCAAGCATTTACATATTACATTCAGACCTAATTGACGTCAGTAGTCATTGTTCACTATTTGAATACTATGATGATGTAAGCACAATTTGCATGTCAAATGCATAGTATTTTTTAACTAAATGTATGCTAATTCAATTAATTATTTACTTGTACTTTTATAAATGAGTTTGTCAAGATAAATGTTGTTAGAAAAGCTGTCTTTATAATGATTTGATATTACAGCTGTATGTAATTATAGAACAGAATATATTGCATTATAATATAGATATTATCAGAATAACATAATAACATGGAAGCTATATTCCATAATTATATTTATCAAGAGTTATTGTTACGAATAAATAATTTTGAAATCAGATGAGAATCAATGCTCATCTTAACTGATAATTTCTTCAGCTTGCTGTACGCAATATTACATTACGTGTGACACATTGTTAAGCTATTAAAAAAATTGTTTTAATTTTGACAGTATTTTAGCAGAAACCAAAAACAAAAAGTCATGAGCAGCCTTTTTGCACTGACACGAACACTGATTTGGAAGAAATAATTTTTACATTAGAAACATCAGTTTGAGTGATGCTGGCATTGACCACTGCTACAGACGGTTGCTAAGCAACAATCAGCTGACAAGATGGCAGCCATCACCAAAATTCAAGCTGAATTTTGTTAAACCATTAATGTCTGATTTTAAAGATAAATAATCTGCATGCTGAGGTGCTAATGTCCATATTTGGTCAGTAATATACACCTACACCACTTGTATTTATAGCTAACATATGATGCACTAAACATGGTGAAAGGCAGATGCCAAAATTGTGTCTGTATTATGACTATGCATGTACACCAAGGACTAATAGTCATTCATCGCTGTAATTTCTCGGTATCCACTGATCATCAACTTAATTTGATTTACAGTAGATTTCATAACAGTATAACAGTGTCATGATTGCTTCCTGAGGACATGAAGGATTGATTTGATTCACAATATTTTATATAGTGGATTTCATGCTTTTTTTTGAAATATAAAAAAAAAATGAATAAAATACAAAATAGGGTAGTTATCATGAAATATTGCTAAGTGGACTTAAAAAACAAAAAAAAACCTTTTTTTCATGATAATTCCAGTTAGGAGATCGATACAACAAAGCGCATGTTATTATCATTCCAAATCAACCCACACTTCGTGTCTGTGTATAAACTGCAGTATTCTTGCAATAACCTTATGACAATTTATACCACAACAAAACTTCAAAAAAAACACACAAAATACAGAGTTGAGTGTGGAATATATCAGGAAATGTCACTTTAAAAAGTTTTCAACAGCTTTGATCTCATTCCATTCCAAGCATTCATTTAAAAGCAAGTTTAAGTATTTAGTCCTGTTATGGTATTCAAGACAGACCACACAGAAACAATATTTATAACTGAATTTACAGACTTGTGAAGACAAAACCAGATGAACCTCTAATTATGATCCATTTAAAGGGAAAATAGTGGGTTTTAACATGATGTTTTGAGCTGTGTGAGAGCACCTGTATTAACATATTAATTAGCAGCAAACCAAGGGACAGCCATTCTGGTGATGTAGTACATGTTACATTGTATAATGTAAATTTTGACCCCTTTACATTGTCAATATGTGTGACTCAATGTTTAACTAATATGATAACTCAACCAATCAATTTATACACAATGTGTTAGTAGACCAGTCAGCACATATTCAATATTAAAATAATGTTTCTCATGGTGTGTAGATGTTCAGAATTTTTTTTTTCCTTTCTTATTTTTTGAAAATCTAATTGTTCAATCTGTCATTTTAACATTATTTTTGCATATATTTTATTCAAGAGTCGTAAGGAATAAGGAAG